TTAGTCCACGATATTATGTGCCACTTCCGGTAAGCTGTTTTTGACGGAAAAGTTGCTGTAATATCCCTAGCGTATAAAAACCTTAAATATGCTTTTCACTTTCGTAATAATTTTCGCTTTTGAGCTAGACTGTTAGCACACACAGACCATTTTCCGGGATTTTGTTATTTAGACTCATGGAACCTCAAAATGTGTATTTCCGTTGAAAACTGAAATTCGAAAATTTTCACAATCGCAATACTTCACTATATATTTCGTATATAGGTAAGTGACAGTAAAAATTCAATTTAAGTATTTTACTTAGTTTTAAAATTTACTTAGTTCCAGTATTTACGTTTAGATGAAAATAATTAAAGCAATCACCAGGATTCTTTAATTTAAAAGTTATTTATAGATAGATAGATATAAAAAAAACTTTATTCTGGGACTAAGTCCTTTCAGAATAACAATAATGTACAAAATAATAGAATATTACTGGCCTATACGTTTGAAACAATAAATAAAATTGATAAAATAAAATAAAAAGTAAAGAAAACCTTAGGTGCACAAGCTATATGCAATACAGATAACACTATGTATAGAGCATTTAAAATTATGAACAAAACAATTAAAACTATGAACGAATCACTTGAACTATGAACAAAATTATATATAAGGGTTGAACAACATAAACATACACTTTGAGAAATGAAGAACGAAAAAGAGATATCAGATGAGAGATCAGTGAGTTCATTTCATAAAATAAAATAAAAAAAACTTTACTTGAATATATATATAAAAATAAACAGTTAATTATAATTGAATAAAAAAAAAAAAAATATGTATTGAAATTCCTACGTCGATAGTAGGAAATGCATGTACTATCTCTAGTATCAAGTATTATGATTATATGATTGCTACACAATACATATATAATATTAATAGTTAGCTGGTATCTGACTGTTTTTGGAACAGGAATTGGAATTGGAGGTTTTTGAATGTGTATAGGGAAGGGGCATGCCGAATTTTGATCGGGAGGGAATTCCAAAAGTTGACAGAGCGGGCTATAAAGGAATTTTGGAATGAGGCAGATCTATGAGAAGGGATGTATAGGTCAGAGGGTCGGGATCTTGTAGTGAGGGAATGGATTGAGGACTTAAATTGGAGAAGGTTGTAGGCATAAGAAGGACGACGATCGGTAATGATTTGATAAAGGAAAGTGCCTAGGAAATATTGTCTTCTTAAGGAGGGGAAGAGCCATCCTAACTCAGTGTAGTGGTGGGAGTCTCGGGGTCCCAATTACAAATCTTACAAATTTGCAAAAACGCCATTATAAGAGACAAACTTAATGTTCTAGTCCTAAAATTTACTTTTAAAAGAAAAAAAACCTTCTGATTATTATTCTTATGTAAATGTAAATAACAGGAATAGAAACATTTATTTCGGAAAATATAAATACGGATCGATTCCTTTAATAGAGATTTTAGTAAAAACAATTACCATACCACATTATTCTAAAATATTTGAAAAATTAGTATTATTATTCTTTATTCTTTATCACTTTAAATAAAAGGTATTTTCCTGGAGTGGGGAAGAAATAACTTCAACCACTTCACGTTAATTTTTGTAGTTGTATTGTTTATTTAGGAAGCTCCTTACGATTCTCGCAGTGTTCAGCAGCACAGCTTTCTGGGCTTCATTTATTGTAGTTGTTGATAGGCCCAACTTCTCGGTAGCTTCTACAGTGGATTTTGGAATCAGCCCATTGCCAGAGATCACTAAAGCCCTCACTGCCACTTTTTTCAGTCTGTAGAGATCTTTTAACTCGGCTGCAAGAGTTTGATATTTTGCAATTTTTTTCGGCGCGACTGAGTTGGTGTTCCCATCATTTGGTACAGCGATATCTATTAGCTCAGCTGTCTTCTTAATACTGTCGATCAACACGATATCAGGTCTATTATGGAGCACAGTATGGTCTGTTATAAAAGATTGATTCCAAAACAATTTCATTCCTTCCTTCTTGATAAGTTCTTCTGTACTTATAATAAGGTATTGAATCATTCATTAACATTCTCTTAAGACCAATTGCCTGAGGATAAATTTTTGCAACATCGTCATGTCTCTTGAGGTATTTTGTACCAGTCAGCGCTCCGCACCCTCCAGTTATGTGCTGAATAGACTCGAACGTACTGGCACAGAGCCTACACTTGTCTGATACTGTCTGTTGCTTCAAGAGATGTCGCAAGTAAGACCTCGTTGCTATGACCTGATCTTGGATTGCAATCAGAAAGCCCTCTGTCTTGGAAAACAGAGATTTTCTTTAACCAACCAACTAGTAGAGAATGTTTTATCTATTATTATTATTATCATTATAAAAAAAAAGTGTATTAAGTCAGTAATGTTTATCATAAGATCCCAAATCATGGAAAAACAAGAAATATAAGTTTCTGTCACAATTTATTCTTGTCATTTTTGTTGAAAACTGTAAGTAAGTACGGGTACTTTTAGGCAACAGGATTTTTTCACTTAACTGGAGGCGGATCTCAAGTTTTTCCCTAATAAATTTCAATTTAATTAATATGGATTTAAAGCTTATTAAAGGAGGAAGTTTTTCTAAAAGTGGTGAGGTATCTGTAATATTGTTGGAGAATAATAAAAAAAAAAAATCGTGAATAATTTATTATTTTTATAAAAAGCGAAGCTTAGCCGCTTTAATTAATTAACTAATCAACTAATTATTTAATTAATTAATTAAAGAAAAATATTAGTTTAGCCGCTCTAAAGTTATCACTTCCTATTCAACAAAAAACTTGACACTTAAAAAAACACAAAACTTAAATTTCCTACCATTCTGCCGGAAATTGGGCCATTATTTATATAAACTTTTTTGCAGCTCTTGAAGTCTGATATCACTCCTATTAACATTTCCACTTACGGGACACCCTGTATACCATTCAATCCCTCCCTCTAATGCCATTTCTCTCTTCCCAAGAAATTTTATTGTTCTTCTCATCTTAAAAATATTGCAAGAAAAAGTATAAATTAGATAAAATTTATTTCATATACAATTACACTTGCTGTGGTCTATTCCAAAATTAAAATCCTTCAATAATAAAGCTCCACCAAATAGTTTATAACAAACTAAACCCTACTTAAAAATATTGATGGCACAATTTGCGCTATGCAATTATTTTCTAGGCAACCCTGCTATCATTCATTTCAGGATATTCATTATTCCGATAATATATTTCCGTACCAAACAATACCAAAATAAATGAACGGAGGGATTCCTAACCAGAAAAAAAAATCGATTTTGACATGCCTATCATTAAAAAAAAAAAATATGACCACAGGTCATTTACGAATTTCTAATCAAACGTTTAGTCGAGTACATCAATAGAGCAAAGTATAACCTGTATAATCTGATAAGTTTAACAAGCATTAAAATGGATTCGAAAACAAATCTTTGTAATCTATCTTAATAATATTATTTACAAAAACACATTTTGACAAGGTTATGGTATGCGCCCTTGTTAAAGGCCCGCATGTAAAACAATTAAGAGGTTATTAATCTTGTGAAAGGACAGAATAATATAAACCGATTTATACCGTGTTTTTACTGTTTTGAAGGTACCTTCCTGTGAATTTATATTAATGGTAATTGAATTCACCAACTTCGATTTTTCATATTTCTTGTCCAACTGGATGATGGTATTTTTAGCTTTATTGGAGACTCACATTGATAAACGACCTTGTGCCATTGTTTTTAAAACCTGGACAAATCTCTTCCTGATATTTCGCCTATACGTTGAAGGGTAGTTTTTTAGAGAGGTTGGTCATCATCTGCCTGATTACATGTATTATTTTGTACCAGAAGGAGTACATGATCTGATGTACCTCAACCGTTTGGGGTCCGGAGCTGAAATATTTTTTAAGGTAAACAAAAAGACATAAAAAAGCTCCAATAGTGAAAGAGGCTGGAGCTGATACATTATCGAGAATACTAACAAATGAAACAAAATCGGCATTTTCATACAAAAAAAAATGTTCACCTCTGATTGATGAAAAAAAGCTTCTATATTTGGGTTCGGGGCTTGTTATTTATTTTTTATTTATTAAAAATACCAAAAGTTTCTTTATATTATTACCCGAAATGGAAAAAGGATCGGGTTATTCTCATCCATTTACCTTTTCAATGTATTTTTATTTCGTCGAAAACTAAAGAGCAATATTTAGTTTAGCAATGTATTAATAAATAGCAATAATTTTTAAAAACCTAAAAAGTGATAGGTTTTCTACAGTAACAAAGAATCAAAAAAAAAAAAAGAAAGAAGAAAAAAAAACCTGTACTGCTACAACCCATGAAGGATCTTGGGTTCAGTACTATTTAGGGAAAGCACTGTTTCTTGGTCTACGGTTGTGCAAGGAGGTGATTTGACCGAGATCACGCTCAACCACCAACCATCAGGCTATCTCCTTAATCAATTATTTACATTAAGGGTTCCCACTTTATAGAGGCTGGGTATGTCCCAGGAGGGTCTATCTACCCAGGGTCGCCTAAAGGAGAATGAAACAGAATAAATATTTTTTCTGTCGTGAGCCGGGATTCGAACCTGGATCCTTTAGCATACGAATCTCAGTACCCTACCACTGAGCTAGCCCATTCCCTCAGCATCAAAGAAGCTATTGGCAAAAAATACGATTTAGCTTGAAAAAGGTATATTTTTGTGGGCTTAAAACTCTGGGCCCAATAAACGTCGCCTTTTGAAATCAGTTTTTGTTTAGCAAAAGAGTCTCATGTTAAAAGTAATACCCACCAAAACATTTTTTGGTCCCAAAATCGTTTAAGAAGCTGGCTCTTTCCTCCAAACAATATGGAGTTGTTGAAATATTAAAAGCTGCTGAAGGTGCAGCGGAAAATATAATTGAAGAGCTGATGAACTGAGAGAGGCGAAGCGACGGTGCACTAAGGCTGAGGACGGAGGCGGCGCAGTGGGCAGTCAGCTGCCAGCCGCCGCCAGATGTGGCCGCTCCAGCCCGCTCCTCCAGAGCACTGCTTCCTCCTCAGGGTCAGCTCCAGGCTCAACATCTCCCAACTCTGCACCGCCGACTTCTGCCTTCAGCTCTTGACGGAGAGCGGCCTCTGCCAGCTCCCGGAACTGGAGGACAACTGCGTCTCCAACGCCACTGTCTGCGCCCTCTATCCACGATGGACCAACGGAACCGACCCTCTAGTCGAACGCTTCTTAGGCCAGTATCCGGTAGCCGATTGGCCATTCTTTACCAAGGACTTTCTTCACCTCATCAACAGGCACTGGCTGACCTTCCCGCCTCCGGGGAGGAACGCACATCTCATCTTCATGAGCATCTTCCTCATCCTCGCCATGTTCGGCCTTCCGGGAAATGCCATTGTAATCTACATGATAACAAGGTAAGGGTTGTTCTTTTATATTTTAAAATGAAATTATATTCCGCAGACTTCAAAGTTTTCCAGAATATTTTTTGTATAATCCAATTAAAAATTAAAAATTGACCATTCTCATATAGTCTTCGGTACAGACCTATTTTTATTTTATGGTAACATATAACTTTTTTATCTGCGAGAATTCTCAGAAATGAGGCGTTTTCTCATTAAATTAATTAAGGTACTAAAACTTATGAATACCCACTTTCTTTCTACTTGAATCTTTTTTATTTTCTACATCAAAAGGTTCATAGCAAATTATACTAATTATGTACCAACCAAACGCGTAGTGAAAAATCCCTTTGTTGGCAATTGTAATTGCACAATTTTTACGCTACAATCACCATTAGTGCGTCAACAATTTTAATCCTAGATTAAAATTTAGGTGATGTTAAAATAGTAATCATAACATAAACGAAAGAGGTATGATAATTACGGGAATAGGTAATTATATATTCAAAACCGAAATTTTTATTTATTTACAAAATTGATTCATCTTAATTATTATGTGAATTTTTCTTATCAGCTTTTTGACTTTTTATTTTATTGAAAAAAATTCCGAAGCAAACGTAAGGTTACACTGGCCCAAATTTATGTTGTCATTGTCTTTCGTAGTACAAATGCTGAGATAATGAAAATAAAAAAATGTCAGAATATAAAACAAAAATTAATAAAAATTTAAGATAAGATCTTAATTATTGTGGTTTATCCTCCATAATTAATAAAGCTTTTATTCACTATACTTAGCGAAGTACTTCCCGTTTTCACATATTTCTCTACATGCCCATTCATATAAAAAATATAGGTCAGCTCCGTTGTACTAGGGCCTATTTTCCGCGGATTTGCTTAAAACAGGATCAGTTCGATAAAAAAAAAAATGATTGAATTTTGTACTGAATAGAATTTCTAATACAATCTGTTTCTTACATCAGAGTAACATTGTAAAATATTCAATCAGAGGAAAGCAATTTCTGAAAATTATACTCAGGTCACCGAATACATTAAAGAAAAAACTCATCAAAGTTTTACAAGATAATATTGTTTCAGTTACCTAATTTTACAAAAGAAAATGTACGTAAACATTTTCTGGTGTTTTTGTTTTAGTCAGCGATTTTGTATAAACCATTACGATCTATATTTGTATTTATTTAGGCTGCTTAGTGCTAATTTAAATTAAGTAAACATTGAAGTTGTAAGATATTTTTTTACAATCCACTTTTAATAGACTTCCAGCTCGATCGTGCAAGAAGCCTTGTCCTCTGGAAATGAAAATATGACCTCCACCCGACAATGCCCGACACTGACCTTTAGAATATCGTTTTACCATCCAATCGTGGTTCTATAAAACTAACAACCAATCAGTTCGATTGTCTGTTATAGCTTAATTTTGTGCATATTTCTCTGAATTCTACTAAAAATACTTTCGAACATAAAATGGGGAAAGTACACAGTCGTTTCGTAAATTCCTAACCTTGAACTTGTATGTGATATCCTTAATGGAGCCTGAACTCAAAACATCGAGTTCCTTAAATGCGGAGTAAAATTAGGTGTAAAGAAATATATTCCGATCTGTTAAGTTGGACATTTCAATTTGTTGTGTACAGCGGTATTCCTGTTTATCCAGAATTAGAAGGTTTTTTTTTCTCTTAATTTACAATAACATTGTGTTACCATTTCTCAAAACATATATTGATCTTAATAACTAATTAACATAAGATTAGAAGGAACGAGATTTATTACTTTAATATTTCTTTTATTATATCTTCATCGACTTAGAATACATTTGTCATTAAAATATTTCGACGTCAAGAAGAGAAACCTAAGTACATATATACCTAGTTGTGAAAGATTTCTACGTTCCTTTACATGGGGTTTACAATATTTAAATATTTCATTTAAAAGAGTAAAAAAAAAAAATTAAAACCTGTACATCAACAAACCCTCGAGGGTCTTGGATTTAATGTATGGTAAAGACATAATTGGACAACAGTTGTGCTAGGAGGTAGTTTGACCGATTTATAGAGGATGGGTGTACCCGAGGAGGGTCTCCATACCCCAGGGTCGAACTAGGGCTATTGTAATAATCAATTAACAATTTCATTTAAAAGAGTAAAAAAAATTAAAAATTAAAACCTGTACCTCAACGAACCCACGAGGGTCTTGGATTTAATGTATGGTAAAGACATAATTGGTCAACAGTTGTGCTAGGAGGTAATTTGACCGATTTATACCGGATGAGTGTACCCCAGGAGGATCTCCATACCCCAGGGTCGAACTAGGGCTATTGTAATAAAATATCTACGCAGCAGCGTAGTAGCACAGGGCCTTACTCACTGATCTACTCCGACTCCCATATAAAAGATAAAACACGTGTTAAATATCAATATCAATATTCTATTCCTTATTCAGACCGGTCGCCCTGGTGGTATAAATCCGGGAAAAAAAAAGAAACATATTGGTTAGTTTTGTATTAAAGGATTTTTTAAAATTATACCTGGTAGTTTTTTAAATACTCTATAATAAATAGTATGGGACGATTATTATCATAAAATATACAAACAATAACACGCCAGTTTTGTTTAATCTTTATGCGTGCTCATCCAGAAAAACTGTATTATCTTACTATCAATTAATAAATAACCTCTAATATAATAAAATTGGGTCGTATTTTATTTTTTAGCTTATCTATTTATTTCCGTCTTTTAAAATACTTATATTGATGGTCTGCAGTAATCGTTTATTTAATTATCGATTATCAAGCAACTAATAAGATAATATGTCTTTCATCCAAGTCTTCTACAAGCTCCCATTAATGGTCTGTAGCAAAGGGATCGTGCCTTTCATTCTAGGTCAATGGTGTGCTGTGTCCTGTAATTCGTAACCGTCTGTAAATCTTCACAGAGTTGGCATATTAAGTCAGTAAATAGTATCAATGTGATTGTGCAACAGGCCTTAATGTTTTTAAAGGGATTGTTTTTTTTGTTTTTAATATCGAACATTATTGAGTGAACAAGCTTAAACAGTTTTAAGGATGCGATTCCCTGTTTGATTAGGAATATCTTCGTGGTATTTTATTCTTAGTACAAATTATAAAGTTTATGGATTACCTGAGTCTCCCAGATCATTTTCCTATATTTTCATATATAATATATTATAAAAGAATTATTTATCACAACAGCCGTAGTTCGACCCAGGGGTATGGAGACCTTCCTGGGGCACACCCAGCCTCTATAAATCGTTCAAACCATCTTCTAGCACAACTGTTGACCAAGATACAGTATTTCTGTACCAAACATTAAAGCCAAGACCCTCATGGGTTTGTTGTGGTACAGGTTTTAATTTTTTTTTTTTTTACTCTTTCATTATATATGAAATATTTAATTATTTTAAAACCAATATAAAAGAACGAAGAGAGAATCACTTTATTTTCGTAAAAGAGTTCTGCCCAATTATACTGGGTTGCTACAAACACAGCATACTTATATATCATTGTAGAAAATTAATAGGCAAATCCTCAGATATATTATTACAGTAAGGCTCGAAATCGGTTTTTTTACCAAATATAAGCTCATGTCATGCTCAAATACCATGAATGGGGCATCGTTGGATTCAGAATTTCACGGAGGGTTAGCAAATTGTATTCTCCACTTTTGTTTTTCTTTCTAAAATAATAAAGTCGATACAAACATTTTACTAGGCTTCAATACTGGAACGGTGGTAGATCTATAGTTCGATACGGGACAAATTGGATCTTGAAGATTTTGATGCGTATCCTCTGGATCTATCGGATCTTCCGTTTTAAGCCCAAAAACGTACTATTTTCGAGATAACGCAAGGCATAGGGTTCGCATCCACACAACCTTACGTTAATTGTAGTACTGTCATTGAATAAATGTCTCATTTCGTCCATTTGAGGTCTCCATGATCGAGAGAGGAGGAGTTTATATTATTTATCGATGGTGTTTTTGATCGGCAAGCCATATCATCGTTAATTTTTCACCAAATCTCAAGATTGAGCAACCAATTTCGAAGGCTTCCTTCTCCTTCAGGCGGGCAAAATAGTCCAACCAACTCGACAATTCAGGCAAATAACTTATGAAAGAAAAAAAACTTTATTTGCGAATAACTGAAAAATTACACACTTTTCCTTATGCCCATGATTTTATAAACCATTACTAAATTCCCTACAAATGAAAAAAAAAATCATCGAAATCGGACAATTCTTAGCAAAGATACAGCTTACTGAAATTTGTAAACATTTCAGAGATGAAGATTTAAATTAATTTTTGTTTCCTTTGCCGATTATATTTACCGATAAAGGAACAAATGATTTCTTTATCTTTTGATACGTTGCATTATTTAATTTTATTATTAATTTGGCGTTTGCATTTGATAACAATATGCAGTGCGAATTTTTCGCACCGGCCTACTAGTATACAGTAATAACAATATATTTTTTTATATATATATATATATATATATATTATTATATATTATAATATAATATATATATATATAATATATTTATTATTTTTACATTTCATTTATTTATTTTTATTTCTTCTTTTTTGACAATTTCTTTCATTCATTCATCGCAAAAAGTCATGTTATTTTTTTTACACATATATATTATTTTTATATTTCATTTATTTATTTTTATTTTTTATTTCTTCTGTTATATTTTTATTTCTTCTGTTTTGACAATTTCTTTCATTCATTCATAGCAAAAAATCATGTTATTTTTTTATACATATATATTATTTTTATATTTCATTTATTTATTTTTATTTTTTATTTTTTCTGTTATATTTTTATTTCTTCTGTTTTGACAATTTCTTTCATTCATCCATCGCAAAAAATCATGTTATTTTTTTTTATATATATATTATTTTTATATTTCATTTATTTATTTTTATTTTTATTTCTTTTGTTATATCTTTATTTCTACTGTTTTGACAATTTCTTTCATTC